GCCTGTCAGCCACACACAGGGATGGTTCTCTGCCAGCCTCCCCCACAGCAGGGGTTTGGGATACTCCAGATGCTCCCGCCCTGTCACCTTTCATTAATGACTTTGCTTTTCTGGTAAACAAGGGCATCGTTTTTCTGCCTTAGCCTTATAAAATCAACCTGAGAAATGAATACGTTGTGCAAGGACCACAGCTGTATTTGTAGTTTTCAACCCATATGCAGTTTCAGGGTTGCTATCTGGAATCCTACCTTCCCAGGGACCCTCCTGGCACAATGTGACCTCTCACAGAGGGGCAGACCTATGGCCTGAATTATGCCGAGACAGATTACTTTTGGCTTTCACAGTGTTTTAAAAAAATAGTTTTCACATCAAAATCCTGTTTGCTGCCTTCTCTTGAGAAATCAGAAAACCTGGCCACACTGGGCCACATTCCCGTGACAAGTAGCTAGAGCTGAAAAACTGTAGTTCCCTTTGCACAGAGTTTGTTCCCCAGTTTGCCATTGTCCCCACCCCTTCCCGTGATTTCCCACTCATACTGTAAGAGAGGGTACAAGTTAAAAGGCAGATATGGAGGCATGAGTTTCAATCTTGACCCCACCACTTACTTCCTGTGGCTGTTTGAGCAGATGTTCACATCTCTCTGAAACCCGTTTTTAATCCCCAGGAAGATGGGACTAATGCGATGATGTAGGCAGAGCACTCGTAGAAAGCCTAGCCTAGAGGGAGCACTCACTGAGAATGTGCCCTGTATTTTTATTGGTGTATTGACTATTTCCTGTCAGTGACACAGAGACTCAGAGATAGTATACAGATGGGCACACCTACTGGAATGTAAGCTTCATATACGCAAGGATTTTAAAAATCTGTTTTTACTTATTCCTACATCTCCAGAGCCTGGTATAGTCTCTGGCACTCGGTAAGCGCTTAGTAATTGTGTTGAATGAATATGTGGATTTAATGTTTTCCTGAGTACTAATATTCATATGGTTATGTGCTAAATTATTGTTGGTCCATTTTATAAATACAAATGCAAATGGACTTACAGGCTGATTATTTCTAATTTACGTGTTGAATTTTTTCCTTAGTCTTTCAAAATATCAAAAAACAGGGAAGTTCTCCAGGGTTGATGAGAACTTCATTGACGTACTCAGTTGAGTCACAGCCTGGGACAAAAATGTATTCTCCTCCAGGGCTGGGTTTCTCAGATCATTATCCAAATGCCAGGCAATTTCAGGAATGAGTGCTTCAAAAAGTCACAGTTAAAAACGCACACATTGATGTGATGACTCTTAGAATTCAAGGTGCTGTACACACATATTAAGGCATTAAGTGTTCTCTGAAGCACTTTCCTCAGAAGTAATACTTCCAAGAGAGGAGAGTGCACTTAGGTAAAAGCAATGGCAGGTTTTATGCCACAATCTCAACAAGGCTTACCCAGAGTGCCAGGGTTTGCTCCCCATTGGATGCAATTGTCCTGGAAATATCGGAGAAAGTGAGTTGACTCCTACATGGATTTAAAGTTAGCCTATTGGAATATTATATTACATATGCCTATCGGGACATTTGATAGGCTGTGATTTTGGTATTAGTGGCCTGTAGGGGTCAGCTGTGTTTTTTGTTTGCTTGGCATCCATTCCTCCTAGTTCTAGTAACTTTCCTGGGAAAACTATTCCTTCTACACTTTTCAATGTGGGATGTGGGAGAGGCTAACCACACTGCCAGGTCTGGAGGAGAGCATGGAACTAGCCAAGGTGTCACATCTCCTGGCTGCAGCCATACATCCAGAGAAAAGCACGTTACCCAAAGCCAATGCAAATACTATGATGCCAATCTGGAGCTTTTCTTAGGACTGTTGGGAAAGAGAAAGCTTTTGTCTGCTTGGGCGTTTCGCTATGAGAATGTGATGCTGACGTTCTCAAAGGTACTGCCTGAGAACGGACAGAAAAGAGAGCTGAGAGCTAGAGCAAGATTCCTGGTGACAGTGTTTGAGTGCCTGGATCCTGCTATGCCTGAAGCTCACATTCACCTGTGGATGTTTGGTTTCATGAGCCAATAAATTCTCTCTCCCTCTTTCATAAGCTAATTTAAATAGCATTTTAGTCACTTGCAATGGAGACATTCCTGACTAGCAAATTGGAATTTGAAAACGTAGATCAGGAAAAGAGGTACAAAACTATGAGAGTCATTGCTCAAGTGAAAACCAAACCTTGAACCATGGTCAGAAGTAAATGATGACTTTGCCTCTTTCTCCTTCACGTGAACCTCAAATTCCATTAGAACCAGGCAGAGCAGTGAGCTAGAAGAATTGTAATTTTTTTCTCTCTCCTTTCTTTAATACCTTGACACAAGGGCCAGCCAAGTGGCTCAGTTGGTTAAGAGCTCACTCAAGAGTTTGAGCTCTGAGCAACAGCAGTTTGATTCCCAGCCTGAGCTGAGCAGCCACTGAGCTGCCAACAGGTGGCAGGATGGCTCAGCTTAAAAAAAATTTTTTTTTTTTTAAATACCTTGACACAAAAAAAGAATCTGGTTATTCCTCTCTGGGTTTTGTGCATGTGCTGGCATCATTCACTGGCTTTCTTTGCACATGTGTTTATTTGTCTGCTTCCATGGGGAGAAGGTAACAAAATAAGCCAGAGACCAGGTCTTAGTGGAGTTAGTTCTCCAGTGCTTTAAAGCTCTATGTGCTTGACTCAGGGGAATTCTACTGGTTTTCGTCATTGAGCCTGTGAACTCCTAGGAGATTGGTCAACTTGTGCAGCATTTAGAGATGTTCATTGAGTAGGGTTACTGAGCATCTCTTCATGCCAGGCTCCAACTTCCACACATATATGAGTGAGTGGGGGCAGGCATTCTCCTTTTCAAGAGGGGTTGTTTCTAGTCTGTGGTCAACTCTTCTTCACCCTTTCGAGCCGTACCTTTGCCGTGGCCCTACTTTCCCTTCTGATCAGCCAGAATTATGCTGTTAAAGGATTCCTCACAAAATACTGCATCCCATTCCCATGTCCCACTTGAAGGAGTTCCGTGGTCCCCTATAGTTTTCATATTGAATTTATCTTCTCCTTCTCAGCCCTTAATAAAACAAATACTGCTAATAATAGCTAATCGTTTGGAGCACTTACTATATGCCAGGCACCATGCTTAGGTTTCATATGCATGATCTCAGTTAATCCTCCCAATGAACACTATAAAGTAGATATCAATGTTATCCCTATTATTTTTTCCAAATGAGGAAACTAATGCAGAGAGGTTAAGTAACTTACTCAAGATCACATGGCCAGTAGGTCATGGGCTCTGAATGCAGTCCTATCACTTTGTCTCCAGACCCCATGTTCCTACCAGAAGATTCTACTGTCTCAAAAGCTCTTCCATAATCTGCTCTGTCTCCAGTTCTCACAACTCTCCAATTTCCACAGTCCACTTAGGCTGGTCTTATGGTTATGCCCCTCCAGTCTCTAATTTTATTATAACTTTAATGCTGTAAGCACCCTTCCTGGGTCTCTCTGTACCTCTAACCCTCCCTTTCAGCAACCCCTCCCCAACCCCAGTCTGTTCCTACCTTTCTCTCCATCCCTCTGCCTCCTCGCTGCTCCCACTACTGTTCTCCTCCATTCTGGCCCAACTCTTTCCCTGCCCTTCCCTGACCTCCAGTTGGCCTTCCCCTCCTTAGATCTGCCAAACACCCCAGATCTGGTTGCCCCGCCCTGCTCTGATCTTCCTGCCCACCATCTTCCTGCCCACTGATCTCTGCTCTTGGGCCCTGGAATCATGTTTTCAATCTCTTCTCCCCTATTGTAGTACAACTCTTTCTGGCTGGAGCCATTATTCTTCTCTACCTTTTCACAACTGTCATCTCCCCCCACTTAGTTGCAAGTTTCTTTTAACAATAAATATATAAAAGTTAAAAAGTAGCACTTAAATAAAACTATTAAGTAAATAAGACAGGTAGTAAATAAGTAAATATGAGACATGCTACCTATCAACTCGTGATCTTCAAGGATCATGCATTGATCCCGGCATTGCCCATTGCCAGGCACCAAAAGTGCTCACTAGCAGTTGATTATAAAATCAAACTTTTGGGTCTAAAATCCCATAGTCTGAGAGGGAAGGACAACAGGTATAAAACCTCCATAGCGGGTCAGGGTGTAGAAGAGTAAAACATAAATGAAACTCAACAAGAAGTGAGGGGATGAAATAAGCAGTGGCTCACAAACTGGGACCTCTGTGGATGTTAAATTTTTAGTTTGAAGCTGGCAGTCTATGTCCGGAGACTGGAAAGTCACAGAGGTGTAGGCATACAACTATAGCAAGCAAGGGAAGGAATCTGAAGGGAAAATAAATTTAACAATGGGAAACAAATCTTTGCAAGTAGGGCTTGTGGGCTTGTCCTAGGCTTTGCTCTGGGAGTGCTTTAGTGATTTCTCTCTGTTGCCTAGCCTCTAGCCCCTCTCCTGGATGAAGTCTTCCTACATTCTCTAGCGAAGGCTGCACTACTAGCTCTGAGGTTGCGGGGGGGGGGGGGGGGGGGGGGGGGGGGACGACGACGACGATTGCCAGAGAGCGATCCAGGTATCATTCTCAGCCCCGGTCCTCACAGGTACAGCTCGGGAAGTAAACAAACCCCTGACCCTATTGGGTCTAGACCAAGAAGAAAGGAGGAGTAAGCAGTCCACACCAAGCCCTGCGTGGCATGCCCTGAGCTGGGTACAGCGGGGACACAGGCCCTGCCTTCCAAAGCACTTGCACTAGCGGCGAAGTGGGCATCGTTTGGAGTCTTGGAGAACTGATACAACCTGAGGGGAGTGCTTGCTGACGTCTCAGGCATCTATCCCAGCTCGGAGGCCGGAGCAGGGAGGCCAGAGTCCGCTCTCCAACGCCCGCGTCGCGGGCAGCTGTATAGCATTCCCGCAGGGACGCGAGGTCCCGAGGCTGGGGGCGGAGCTCGTGCTGTGACACCGCCCCTTGCGCGTTGCCAGGGTGATCAGGTGACTCGGAGCTCTGGGCGCTCGGGGCGGCAGTGACGTCAGGCGCGCCGCTGCTCCTCACTCCGTGGCAGGTGCGGCGCGTCTTGTGCGGTCTCTCCTGGTGCGGTCTGCTCCCTACACAACTAGTGCCCAGCCTGTTGGTGGAGAGGTGAGGTGCGGCGGTCCGGGGATCGGCCAAGGCAGGACCAGGGAGGGGGTGAGACGCGAGCAGGGCCCTTCCCGGGGTCTGCGTGTCCCCGAGCTTCCCAGAGGGCGTCCCGAGAGCCGGCGGGCACCGGGGGCGGGATGGGCCGGCTCCGGAGAGGGTGCGTGCAGCCCCCGGGGAGAGATGGAGAACTGGGGGGAGCGGCAGCAGCCGGCCGGATGCCCATCCGAGCGTCTCCCTTCACCCGCAAACCTGGCTGTTCCTCAGGCTGCCGGTCGCCGCAAGGCTGGCAGAGACTGGTGGAGATCCCGCGCCGCCCGGCAGGCGTCAGGGCGGCGGACTAAGGGGCTTCGCGTTTCAGTGAGTCTCGCGGTTCAAGGAGTCGACGGGCTGGGAGCGGGGCTCGCCACACCCGGTCTCGGGGGACGTCTGCGGGAGGCTTCTGCATCTTTTCGCCTCGGGCTGCGATTTCTGGGGCGCTGCCGGGGTCTTACTTGGTGCTCTGAGCTGGGCCTGAGAGGGGGGCTGGAGGCCTCTCGAGAGCCCGGCGAGTGGGAGCAGGGGCTGGGGGTGTTCAGAAAAGGTGCTGCCGGCGTGGGGGGTGGGGTCTGTGTGGAGAATCCTGACGGTTGAGAACGGTGGCTTGGGAGCTGAGTAGACTTGTTGGGGGAGGTGAAATTTGAGCGGAGTCCTGAGGGGTGGGGACTGTTCTCCCGGCCGCGGTGGGGGTAGGAAGAGTAGAGGGAGGGAAAGGGGACCTCTGGGGAAAGGAGACCGTGATCCTTGAGCTGGAGGCAAAAGAAAGACGATTCTGTGACCGACTGGATCGAGTGCTAGGGCTGTTTTGGGGGACAAGTTTGAAGAATTAGGTTAGGAACGTTTAGGAAAACTCTTGAGTGCCCAGCTGAAGGTTTGCGTGCTGTGGGGAGCCATTGAAGCGTCGGATGGATTGAGGTAGGGGTGACACTGAGTTCGGGAGACACTGAGGAGGCTGTTGTGTACAGTTTGGGAAAGAGGTGACAACCCCTACAAATCTGGTGTGATGGGATTCTGCGAACCCTTCTTATGAGATATTTATAACAGGCGGGTGGGGGTGTAGGCAGCCAGGTGCCCTACATCCCAGCCATTGTTAGCAAATGAAAGCAAAAATTTCTTATGCGGGAAAGGAAACACCAACAGCAGCTCATTTTCCTGTTATTTCATGTGGCCAGGCTTAAGGACTACCTGAGAGTTTTGCCCCCCTCTCGATATGTACGCAGGTTGGATGGTCCACAGCACTTGCCCTTCAGAGATTTCAGAGTGTCTTACAAACACCTCTTATCCCCAGGGTGAAACCCAAACCCCAAGTGACTGGTAGGAGATTTAATTGGGGGAAGTTATTAAAGGATAATCAGGGCCCAAAACATGAATATGGACATTGGGAAAGCTGAAAGGAGTCCCATGTTCTTTATTAATTGTGGAACAAAAAGGTCCCCTTTTCTACCCGGTCCCCTCAGCTTGTGGGCTTCCCAGCATCAGACTGTTTAGGTGTTAATTGTCTATTTTGTCTTAACTTCCTGAGAAACAGAAAGAAAATATTTTGATTACTGAAGAGGAATGATTTAGTGATTTGTGGTTTTTCCCAGCTCTGAAATTTACTGATTCTGTGAACCAGAAAAATGTAGTGATATCCATTTTATATTGAACCTTAGGAACTTCTGTTTTCTGGGAGGAGGTAAAATGGCTGAACCTTCCCACCAACTTGTTTTGTATTTGTTTGACTCCAGAAAACAGAATTGGACATCCAGGGATCCCACACAGTAAAAGGCAGTTAGGGAATTGCTGAGAACCTGGGAAGGTGGCCGCAGCTGGTTTGTGCATAAAGGTAGAAGAAACCTGCCCAGCGCTCAAATCCAGAATGGAGAGCGAACTTCCAGTCAGATCAGTGACATCATTCTTTGTAAACGAAGTCTTAAGATAGGTCCCCTGAACAATGTGTTTACCACACATTACTACTTGTTGAATTTCTCCCTCTGTGTACCTTTTTCAGTGGTCGGGCTTGTTATGATAGTGATATTTAAGGGCTTTTGCAGGAGCCCAATAATATTAAGAATAGCTGGATATTAGATTTCTTGGCCATATTTTAAAAAAATTGTTAGCCATTTTCTAAATCTCTTTGGAAATATTTGAACTGGCCTACTAATCATGCTTCCTTTGCAAAGAAACAGTCCATCTCCCTCCCCACTTCCCCAAACACTATAAACTATGTGCTGTCCGGGCAGTTAAGTAGGCCAAGAGTTTCGGGAAATTTTCCACTTTCATTCACCCCTGCCACCCTGACAAGTTTTCCCAGTGGTAGAGAATTTCAGACTTCATTATCAGGAAAAAATCAAAATAGAAAAGTTAGTGTGTTTCCCTAAACGCAGCTATGATAAACACCATGGGCTGTCCTGTTGAGAAACTGAAATGCCCTCCCTTAAGTGGAACTGGGCCCAGATAAGAGGCAGGGCTGTCTTAAGGGTCAGAGACCCGCCACGGAACATTCTGGGCCTGCACCTTTGTCACCCAGGGCCCTGAACAGAGAGGGCCCTCCTTTCTTGGCACTGAAACATTCCTTGACCTTGAAACTGGATAATGGTCAGTACCCCCCTTCACAGAGGTACCAAGGGGAATTAATGAGAGGCTTGTATGAAGTTTGAGCTCCTCCAAAGCAGAATCTTTTAATTCTTGGATGAATAGTATATATTGAGATGTAGTGAAGTAAAAAAGAGATGGACATTTAAAATTTGCCTCCTTCAAACTCTAAGGCTTTTTTGTGTTTTTTTTTTTTGTTTTTTTTCCTGGAGTATTTGGGCTTGGTTACCAATAAGCCTGTAATCAAGACCTGGAGGCCTGAGGGTAAATGCATGTTTGGATTTCACATGTAAATCAGTTCAGATTTTTCCCCACTCTATTTCCCACTCTTTCAGAGTGCCCTGAGTAAACCAGTAATTTAGCAGGCTGTGGGGCTTTAGACCCAACATCTTTGCAACCCCGAAGGAGTTTATAAAGGTCGTCAGAGACAGAAGTGGGTAATAATGCTCACTACATTGAATAAGAAGTGAGAGTCATCTTTTGAAATTCCCCTATGCTATGTCAGTCCACCAGTCATAGTACTCAAATAGAGATTCAAGTGCTTGCTGATGTTCCCAGGGACTCGACAGAACTATAATATCCATCTTTTAGACTTCTGGCATTTGTTGGCCAGACATAGTTCTCACTTGAGCGAAATTCTGAAAGGAGTCTTCCTGTTTTTCTCAAACTGAGCCGAGTGCTGTGTTCCAAGCCTTCAAGCTCCCCAAGCTTGGCCAATGCTACTAATTGGCTTGGCTATAAAATGGGAGTTAGCAATTAAAAAATAGCAGTATAGAAGCAAGGGGATTGGACATGAGTTGACCCCTCTAGCCTCCAGCCAAAAAGGTTCACACCACTTTGAGTACTATATATAAAGTGCTATTCAACATGAAGTGAGCTTGGAATGACTTCTGTTTTTGTAGTTTTTAGGAGACATGTGGAATATTAGTACTGATTTGGGCTTCAAAACCAGAGCTAGGAAACTGGACGGGCCCTTACTACTAAAGCAAGGGAGGCAAATGGTTTGGATCCAGTCTCTGTGGGCAGCAAGCCTGTGGTATGACTTTACTGAAAACAAGGGATAATATATGTTTTTCTGAACCCTTTCAATTAAATGGTTTAAGGGAGTGTTGGTAATCATGGCGGGAGGAGGGTTTGATTTACCTGAATTTACTCAGTGGGGAGTAATGCCTTATTCATAAGTGCCTGTCATTAGTTCTCTGATGATTTGTGCTGACGAATCATTATTCCCAAGAGAACTGGCTCAGAAAATACATCACAACCGAAAATTATCTGACCACACAGTGCTCAAAGAAAGGTAAGGATGGGGAGCAATTGAACTGCAAAGGTATTTGGGGCAAGGAATTCCTGAGAAGTGGTACTAGGCTTGTGCCACATTGAATTTCTAATACTGTCCGCAGTATGCTTCACTGGTCAGCTTTCAGTGTCAGGACCTTGGGCAGGATCATATGGGGAGAAAATGTGTGAAGAAGGGGACTTTTGTAGGGCAGTGCTTATCTCGAGTTCTTACCATTAAGCCTAATACTTTTTGCTTTCCTGCTGCTGCTAGCTTCCTGGAGACCTCAGACTCCCCCGCCCCCCCGCCCCCCTCCACCCCAAGGCCAATGTGATTCTTCTATCTCTGATCCAGTTTCTGTATCCTTCTGGCTCTGCTGACTGTGCTGAGCTAAATCTTGGTGATCTTTGATGCCTGGTGCCATTGACAGAGGCAGCAGTGAGGGGTAGTCACACTCTGAAGCAAGCAGATCGTTTACCTGTGTTTCTCACACTTTATGTTCCACCTGCATGATTTTTGTCTTCTCTCCAAGCCATCTGTACTATATTTAACATTTGTTTTCTTTAAATTGACCCACTTAAAAAAAACCAAAAAGCAACTAACATCTACTTAATAGGAAAACTGTATCATTACCTTAAATTAAAACTATTATCACCTGCCACAATAGAAAACATCGCTATTAAAATTAAGTTGTTTGTCCATTGTCCCCAGATCATGCCGCATACCCTACTTGGGGAAAGACTGCCTTCAACCAAAGATATGACTCACTAATAGTGAATTTTTCAGATGCTGGTAGATAGGTGGTAGGGATGGCGTGCGGTAGGCAGGCCTTCGGAGGGGGCCCCTTAAATCTCATCTTCTGAAAGTTTATGGGTCTCTGTGATATCAGGAAGACACAGAGTAAAGAATCTAGGAACCAAAAATGAGTAAGTATAGTCAGTGTGAAACCACTGGTGTTTTGATACGAAGTTTGCCAAAAGGAGTCCTGAGCAGTGGCGAGACTGTATATTATATTAAATTCTAGGCCCTTCGCCAGGACCTGACTTCATTGATGCTGTGGTATATTGCTCTTTCTGTGCAAGTGTGCTCTTGGAAAATTCAGGTTTTAGTTCAA